TGCGCATTTCCAATCATTCCAGAGGATGTCTTGGATACCTTATAGATGGCAATGGTATTTTCCATTTTCTTGAATATTGTGAAACCCTTGCTATTGGGCATCCAGCGGATATGGGTAGCATAGTCAAACTCAATGTTGCCTCGAACACTCTTGTGTTCCCGTTGGGTAAATTGGTCAGCATTCCAGATCAAGACTGTGCGGTCTGTGTTGTGAAGGCAGATAAGGAATGCAACTGTCAATAACAATTCATCAAAAGGCCCCTAGAATTTGTTACACATTTTAGACATCTTACAATGGCATTGTATATATGTATATGTGTGCATATGTGCACTGCATGTGTGTGAGTGTGAATGTGAGAGAGAGAGAGAGAGAGAGAGAGAGAGAGAGAGAGAGAGAGAGAGAGAGAGAGAGAGAGAGAGAGAGAGTGATTGAGTGTGTGTACATGTGTGTGTGTGTGTACGTGATTGAGTGTGTGTACATGTGTGTGTGTGTGTACGTGTGTGTGTGTGTGTACATGTGTGTGTGTGTGTGTGTGTGTGTACATGTGTATGTGTGTGTGTGTGTGTGTGTGTGTGTACGTGTGTATGTGTGTACGTCTATGTATGTGTGTGTGTGTGTGTGTACGTGTGTACTTCTGTGTGTGTGTGTGTGTGTGTGTGTGTGTGTGTGTATGTGTGTACATGTGTGTGTGTATGTGTGTACATGTGTGTGTGTACGTGTGTACATGTGTGTGTGTGTGTACGTGTGTACATGTGTGTGTGTGTGTGTGTGTGTGTACGTGTGTACATGTGTGTGTGTGTACGTGTGTACATGTGTGTGTGTACGTGTGTGTGTACATGTGTGTGTGTACGTGTGTACATGTGTTTGTGTGTGTACGTGTGTACATGTGTTTGTGTGTGTACGTGTGTACATGTGTTTGTGTGAGGTGTGTGTGTGTGTGAGGTGTGTGTGTGTGTGTGAGGTGTGTGTGTGTGTGTGAGGTAGGTGTGTGTGTGTGTGTGTGTGTGTGTGTGTGTGTGTGTGTGTGTGTGTGTGTGTGTGTGTGTGTGTGTGTGTGTGAGGTGTGTGTGTGAGGTGTGTGTGTGTGTGTGTGTGTGTGAGGTGTGTGTGTGTGTGTGTGTGTGTGTGTGTGTGTGTGTGTGTGTGTGTGTGTGTGTGTGTGTGTGTGTGTGTGTGTGAGGTGTGTGTGTGAGGTGTGTGTGTGTGTGTGTGTGTGTGTGTGTGTGTGTGTGTGTGTGTGAGGTGTGTGTGTGTGTGTGTGTGTGTGTGTGTGTGTGTGTGTGTGTGTGTGTGAGGTGTGTGTGTGTGTGTGAGGTGTGTGTGTGTGTGTGAGGTGTGTGTGTGTGAGGTGTGTGTGTGTGTGTGAGGTGTGTGTGAGGTGTGTGTGTGTGTGTGAGGTGTGTGTGTGTGTGTGAGGTGTGTGTGTGTGTGTGAGGTGTGTGTGTGTGTGTGTGTGTGTGTGTGTGTGTGTGTGTGTGTGTGTGTGTGTGTGTGTGTGTGTGTGTGTGTGTGTGTGTGTGTGTGTGTGTGTGTGCGTGCGTGTGCGTGTGCGTGTGCGTGTGTGTGTGTGTGTGTGTGTGTGTGTGAGGTGTGTGTGTGTGAGGTGTGCGTGTGTGAGGTGTGTGTGTAAGGTATGTGTGTAAGGTATGTGTGTAAGGTGTGTGTGTAAGGTATGTGTGTAAGGTGTGTGTAAGGTGTGTGTGTAAGGTGTGTGTGTAAGGTGTGTGTGTAAGGTGTGTGTGTAAGGTGTGTGTGTAAGGTGTGTGTGTAAGGTGTGTGTGTAAGGTGTGTGTGTAAGGTGTGTGTGTAAGGTGTGTGTGTAAGGTGTGTGTGTAAGGTGTGTGTGTAAGGTGTGTGTGTAAGGTGTGTGTGTAAGGTGTGTGTGTAAGGTGTGTGTGTAAGGTGTGTGTGTAAGGTGTGTGTGTAAGGTGTGTGTGAGGTGTGTGTGTGAGGTGTGCGTGTGCTCTGCCGAGGGTGTGTGTGTGTGTGAGGTGTGCGTGTGCTCTGCCGAGGGTGTGTGTGTGTGTGTGAGGTGTGCGTGTGCTCTGCCGAGGGTGTGTGTGTGTGTGAGGTGTGCGTGTGCTCTGCCGAGGGTGTGTGTGTGTGTGAGGTGTGCGTGTGCTCTGCCGAGGGTGTGTGTGTGTGTGTGTGTGTGTGTGTGTGTGTGTGTGTGTGTGTGTGTGTGTGTGTGTGTGTGTGTGTGTGTGTGTGTGTGTGTGTGTGTGTGTGTGAGAGAGAGGTGTGCGTGTGCTCTGCCGAGGGAGTGTGTGTGTGTGTGTGAGAGAGGTGTGCTTGTGCTCTGCCGAGGGAGTGTGTGTGTGAGGTGTGCGTGTGCTCTGCCGAGGGAGTGTGTGTGTGTGTGTGTGTGTGTGTGTGTGAGGTGTGCGTGTGCTCTGCCGAGGGAGTGTGTGTGTGTGTGTGTGTGTGTGTGTGTGTGTGTGTGTGTGTGTGTGAGGTGTGCGTGTGCTCTGCCGAGGGAGTGTGTGTCTGCGTGTGCGTGTGCTCTGCCGAGGGAGTGTGTGTCTGCGTGTGCGTGTGCTCTGCCGAGGGAGTGTGTGTCTGCGTGTGCGTGTGCTCTGCCGAGGGAGAGTGTGTCTGCGTGTGCGTGTGCTCTGTCGAGGGAGTGTGTGTCTGCGTGTGCGTGTGCTCTGTCGAGGGAGTGTGTGTCTGCGTGTGCGTGTGCTCTGTCGAGGGAGTGTGTGCTCTGTCGAGGGAGTGTGTGTCTGCGTGTGCGTGTGCTCTGTCGAGGGAGTGTGTGTCTGCGTGTGCATGTGCTCTGCCGAGGGAGAGCCCCCCCCCCCCCCCCCCCCCCCCCCCCCCCCCCCCCCCCCCCCCCCCCCCCCCCCCCCCCCCCCCCCCCCCCCCCCCCCCCCCCCCCCCCCCCCCCCCCCCCCCCCCCCCCCCCCCCCCCCCCCCCCCCCCCCCCCCCCCCCCCCCCCCCCCCCCCCCCCCCCCCCCCCCCCCCCCCCCCCCCCCCCCCCCCCCCCCCCCCCCCCCCCCCCCCCCCCCCCCCCCCCCCCCCCCCCCCCCCCCCCCCCCCCCCCCCCCCCCCCCCCCCCCCCCCCCCCCCCCCCCCCCCCCCCCCCCCCCCCCCCCCCCCCCCCCCCCCCCCCCCCCCCCCCCCCCCCCCCCCCCCCCCCCCCCCCCCCCCCCCCCCCCCCCCCCCCCCCCCCCCCCCCCCCCCCCCCCCCCCCCCCCCCCCCCCCCCCCCCCCCCCCCCCCCCCCCCCCCCCCCCCCCCCCCCCCCCCCCCCCCCCCCCCCCCCCCCCCCCCCCCCCCCCCCCCCCCCCCCCCCCCCCCCCCCCCCCCCCCCCCCCCCCCCCCCCCCCCCCCCCCCCCCCCCCCCCCCCCCCCCCCCCCCCCCCCCCCCCCCCCCCCCCCCCCCCCCCCCCCCCCCCCCCCCCCCCCCCCCCCCCCCCCCCCCCCCCCCCCCCCCCCCCCCCCCCCCCCCCCCCCCCCCCCCCCCCCCCCCCCCCCCCCCCCCCCCCCCCCCCCCCCCCCCCCCCCCCCCCCCCCCCCCCCCCCCCCCCCCCCCCCCCCCCCCCCCCCCCCCCCCCCCCCCCCCCCCCCCCCCCCCCCCCCCCCCCCCCCCCCCCCCCCCCCCCCCCCCCCCCCCCCCCCCCCCCCCCCCCCCCCCCCCCCCCCCCCCCCCCCCCCCCCCCCCCCCCCCCCCCCCCCCCCCCCCCCCCCCCCCCCCCCCCCCCCCCCCCCCCCCCCCCCCCCCCCCCCCCCCCCCCCCCCCCCCCCCCCCCCCCCCCCCCCCCCCCCCCCCCCCCCCCCCCCCCCCCCCAGGTGTCTGCGTGTGCGTGTGCTCTGCCGAAGGAGTGTGTGTGCGCGTGTGCTCTGCCGAGGGAGTGTGTGTGTGTGTGTGCTCTGCCGAGGGAGTATGTGTGTGTGTGTGTGCTCTGCCGAGGGAGTGTGTGCGTGTGTGTGCTCTGCCGAGGGAGTGTGTGCGTGTGTGCTCTGCCGAGGGAGTGTGTGCGCGTGTGCTCTGCCGAGGGATTGTGTGTTTGCCTCTGCGTGCGCTATGCCGAGTGTTTGCGTCTGCGTGCGCTCTGCCGAGAGTGTGTTTGCGTGTGCTCTGCCATGGAAGTTTTTTTTTCCAAACATGTCTTACTGTTGGCGTTTTACAATGCTCTTGATTGTGTCGGTTTTATTTAGCACTGCTCACTGACTGCACATAACGCTTCTAAAATTATTACCAAATCCAAGTTCCAATGGTCATTACAAGGCAAAAGCTGTCATACACCGGGTTTGCTGCTTCATTTTTACATTTTGACGGCTTGCCAGAACCCCCCCCCCCACTTGTGACGATTTAATGGTTAATGGTTGATGGTTAAAAGCAAGATAAATGTGCTAGACATCTAATTGTGACGATTTGCCAAAGAATTTCTGGTTCAGGTCATGAATTGGAACATGATTTGGTAATGATTTCTCAAAGCACTTCCTAATCATAAGGTTCAAATGTGGGGTTGGCCAGATATCCAAACATCCTTAAAATCAGTGGTCTGCTTTGTGTTGCATGAAATGAAATGCTTTTACCTCAAATCTACACTTCAACAAGGAACACTAAGAAGAAATAAAAATATTTTTAAGCCTTCTGGCTGAACTTGAACACTTCATGAACGAGACACTAATCCCGCCTCTCCAAAACTTCCCAATCTTAGTGTCATGGAACTTATCTGCCAACTTTAGCCACAACTCACTGGTTGGTTTGATATCTAATACACTCACATTTGTCCAATATGTATCGGATTTAAATCAATCACATAATACTGGAAAATCTAGTTCCACCATTTATGTGAACTAGAATTTTATTATAACCGGGCTTCATTTTCTGAAACTTCTTCCACACTATTACACTTTACTTCCATAAAGAGAATGTATGTAGACCTTTAACATTGCTTAGCCTCGTACAGCTAGAATCCAACTCCTTCATACATCTGTTTTGCTCATACAGTAAAATATGCCAGAATCATCAAGGATTATATAAAATCGGATGGCATTTATTTTTATTGTTGAAATGCAAATATTTGCAGACTTTACAAAGGGTAGCTCTGATTACATTCAAATTGCCTAGAAGCAAACTTTGAATTCTCCTACAAAAGACTCAAAGATCAAACTGATATTGTGCTATGACAGCTACAAAAGGCAAGTGTATAAATGGTAGAAATAAGTAGATAGAGATCAAGGAATGAGACAAAACAAAGAATAAAAATAATAATAAGCAAGAAGTTTAGTATTACTGACAACTGAGCACTGACTCTATCGCAGCCCAACTGACAGAGTCAATCACTAAAATAATTGTACATTTCTTCTGATATGGGCTACTTAAACTTAAAGAGTAAGGAGTATAAAAATAGATTAAATAAACAATGCTAAAATTTGAAGGAAAAGTCAATAGCACTGAGTGGAAAAAAAATCTATCACTGAATTGGAAATCTGAATAAAATATCATCGGGTTAAAAAGAGAAATTATTCTAGGAGATCAAGTATCCTAAACTAAAATTTTATACACAAGATCATTTTTCCCATATAGTACTTAATAAGTCAATAAATCTTAAAATTGTTCAATTCATCTTGCAGTACATTATAAAAGTGGCGGTAAAACTGCAAGCTACTAAAAACGATACACAGTACAGCTATAAGTCAATATAAAATAAATAAATAAAAAAATCCTATCTAACAAGCACAAAACAATCATTCTGAGGAGTAATGGTAGTCCTTGAGTATTCCAATTCCTGCACTAACTGGAATGCTTAGTATCACAGGTATTACAGCCTGGCAGGTTCCCTGGACATCCCACACTCAAAAACTGTAGCAATCTATCACTATGAAAGACAATTCACAACCACTTGCATTGTATCTAAAAACCCCTGTATAAAAAGCTGCCATACAAGTTTTCGTACTAAACAGTAAATATTCTAGATCGATCCATACACCAAATTAACTTTCCATTCAAATTTAAGTAGCTACATAAGTTTTGGCTTTGGTTACAATAAAGATCAATTAAAATACAAATTCCCAGAGGAAACCAGTTTGAAAATCTGTAAAATCCACAATACATATAAATAGATCCCTGATATCAAGCAGGGCCTTAACCAGTTTATCTAGTAGTAAATGCACCTTTAAAAAAGTGAAATGCATTCTAATGCACCACTAGTGACCATGAAAAAGGGACAAGTTTGAGCAACAATACAGCATTTTATATGCAGCAAGCAAACAAACTAGCAGAACTCCTATGATTAAGGCACAATATGCGATATGATCACCTCAAACATTCAGATTAAGAAGTCTGCAGAAATGCATTGATCATATCACATATTCTGAAGTGCAAGTGGTAATGGAGCAACCTTAGACCTGAAGAAGAGAGATTCTTTGATGTTATTCAGTACCAAATCTAAGGCAGCAGTAGCATCCTCAAGGCTATCATGTCCATGACTCCCTCCTTTCTGAATGTCACGTCCAAGGTGTCTTTTGGCCAGTGATTTCAGAGACTGTTTATGCATCAATGGACCATTCAAGGTTGGGGAGCTGGGTGGAGGCTTGAAGAGCAAGGCAGTGTCAATAACATTACGGTGGATTAACTTTAGGGCAGCCAAGTCACCCTCTAGGCTGTGTCCTATAATGATTGATGATGATGGAACCACTCTCAACAATCTCTCTCTAGCTTCTGTAAATGATATAGCCCTTTCTATGTGTTCAGCTGTGATTCCTGAAAATTTGGTGTTGTAATCAAATACTTCACCTAAGGGCTTGACATAGAGATCTAACACAACCTTTCCTGACACACAAACCAAAGTTAATCTTGCTAATTCAAATCCTTTGCTTGTAAAAATCATTTCACAGTCAAGCCCAAATATTCTTGGAGACCCATCTTTTGTATTTACAAATCCTTCTAACGGACCATTCAGCCCAGATCTGAAGTGATGAAATACATGATAAGAAGTCTGGGTACATCCTGCTACACCTTTCATTCTGTTACAGCACTGATAGTGTAATCTTCCATCTCTTCTCAACACCATTTTCTTTGGATGATATTCACACACATCACTTCCATTTTCACTAACACTGAAATGTTTCCTACATCTTTTACACTTTTCTATTTGTTGTAATTTATTGAAGTTTTGTAATGTAGCATGTTTTGAATCAAAATTTAAATCCATGCTTCCAGTACTGTTCCTAAATTCACTAAAATTTGAATTTATTTCATTTCCATAATTACCTTCTATATCAACCTCACTATCTTTGCTGTCAGAACTGACCCCTGAAGAGGATTCATGGTTATCATCCTGGTATGTGTCACCTACACTTAAATCTTCCAAGGATTCTGGTTCAGAGTAATCTGAACTACTTTCTACATCCAGGGTCTTGTGTAGATCTTCGCGTTCTGTTGCATCAAGTTCAATTTCTAGGAGCTCACAGCCATTTAGAACTCCTGCTAATGTTGTGTAGCCATTAGGCTTGAAAATGTAAAGCCCATGGTTTGTAGCATATGGATAACCATTAAGGACTCGCTCCTCAAGAACACAACACTTTGGAACAAGTAGATCATATAGCTGTTCTTCTGTCTTTTCAAGGCTATCAAACAGAGTTTTGGTGCTCTGACTAATAGCCTTTGTTGATGTGCTGCGGCCAGCTGATGATCCAACTCTGTTCATTTTTGCCCTCTTGTTCTTGTTCTTACGCTGGCGACGGGACATCTTTGAAGGATTGCACACCATGATAACCTCTTCTGTATCAGATGGAGCATTGCTGTTTGCCATCTGACTGCTGCTACTGACAGACGAGGTGTCCACTTCTTCCAGACTGCTGCTGCCGTCTGATATACTGGACAGATCCAGAGAATCTTCTATAGAGAATAGGTTCGCATTACAGCTCGCCTTCCCACTTCTGCCACCGGGATCAAAGCGTCTGCCACTCCCCACTGGAGAAAAACAGTGAACTCTGCTTAATGTTAGTTCACAAACAAATAAATATAATCAAAACTTTAATCAAGTTCTAATCTACATTATATGTGATAAAAGTAGAAAAAACATTAAGCAGAGTGCACTGTACAGACCCTGCTCAAGTTCAAATTAAAGACTGGATACTACCAAAGCTAATAAAAAAGACGAAAAAATGTATGTGCACATGTGCATGTTCACAAACAAACATATCAAATCAGGCAATAAAAATTTAGTGTTGAAAGTTACTAGGAAGCAAAAGAGAAAAATTAAGAAAGGGGTGTTTTTTAATTCTCATTTTAGCTCACAAACACTCCAAATAGGGGAAGAAAACTTAAGGTGGTGAGTTGAATATTCTAATGGTTATATTGGAGATTATATGGACTGCCTGCCAAGTTCTGAAATCAAATCTAACAAGAAAGTGTTAATGCTAACACACCTAACAAAATTGAAGTGCCAAACAAGAGTACCTATTCAAGAACCACACAAGTAACAACTCTGCTCAGTACCTGAATCTGCACCCAACTTGTCTGCTATTGGACACTGTGGGGAAGTCCTCAAGTACCTAGGGATCTATGCAGTCTAAAGTTGTAAGTCTAGGTGATTTTGGCAGTAGCAAGAGTCCCAGAAAAAGAACACTGTCCTGCAATCACGGAAGACTTAAACGCTCAACAAGAGATGGCACTCCCTCCACAATACTGATCAAAGCTTGCCTTTGGCAATGGAAAACCTGATTTTAACAAACAGGTTTGCCCCATACCATCTATCCCCTGTCCTTAACCTCTCATACAACATGCCACCATAATCACTGAACAACCATCATTACTCAAACACTTTCCAGTAAAGGCATTCTACGAAGAGATCTCAGCAAATAGATCAGTGGGGAAAAACAGCTTTGGGTTTACAGCAGTGAATAAGTACAACTTTAACAAGGGTCTGTAAACCTGTGTAAAAACATAGGCACGAATTTAAGTCATAAGTTTATTCATCATCTTTATGCGAGGAAAGCCCTATAACAATGTTAAACATTGAAAAATGGAAAAACAGTACATAAAGTCAAAAACTAATTTCATATAGTTTTTCAGACTTGTCCATTACAAGATTCAACATTGCAATCTTGTTAAAGCCACAAATATTAATACAAAAAACTAATATCTGAAGTAGCTCCCATACAAGATACATGGGATGATTATGCTAAGATCCCCATAGTCATACAAGGTTAAATTGCTCATGTGTGTACAAAAAATATAATTGCCATTTCTCTACATTTTTACTAAATGCAACAATGCATTTGATATTAAAGAAAAAAATAAGTGTTATGCCCCTTTATAGTGTATTGTAAGCATTTTATTTTTTACACATCGTTAATAAAAATTAGAAAAAACATTAAAATTACGGGTCGTTATAATGGCTATCAATTCCTAAAAGGCGTTTTCATGGTAAATAGAAGGTCTAAACAAGTAATGTCAGCTTATTCTGACTCCCAAAGTGGTCTAACTCTTGTAGGTTGCCACAGGCAGTGCAGGCACATTAACTTAATTTTATTTAACAAAAACTTAATACATTCCAATCCGATTCATATTTCCTAAGGCACAAACAAAAAATATAAAAACCATCTATAAGATTGCCCTTAAAGATAAACAAGCAATGCTTTTTCTTGCTTTGAATTCTCAAACTTGCATAGTAAAAGAAAAGTGGCAGTAACCACTTGTTTATCATTTGTAACAGATTAAAATAGTCTGCCTTTGGGAGTCCCATTTCTCACTCCTTATGATGGCATACAGTAGGATGTCTGACCTTACTTATCTATACCTTGGATAAATGGTTACATAGAGAATTTCTCTTACAAGACCAAAATATCCCATTAATAATTTTTGCAAGTCAAAACAATTAAAATTACTGAAGCAATACTTCTGAGACCACCACCTTTATTGATGCCACTGGCAGTTATCCCATCATGCTAAGATCAGTATATCATTTGAATGTAATGAAAGAGTAATGATAGAATCTGTGCTTGGATTTTCAGATCCTCAGAGAATGACCTATAAACTTTATTGCGTCTAAAAAGATTTGAGCATGGTTTTCCCTGAGGGTCAGTTGTATCATTTTTCATCAATAATGTGAGGGAAAGGCAGTGAAGATAGTAAGTAGAGAGCGATTGTTTGAGTATCATGCAAGATTAAAAGGGTCCCTCAAAACCACATTTAATTCCATTTGCCAATGCTGTTCATCTTATGCAACAATCACTTGTACTCATTTTCATCTGTTCACTATGAATAACACATTTCCCATTACTGAAAATGCAAATCAATTTTTTTTCAATAACAGCAAAACACCATGTATTAATGGATTATGAAACAAAAGCATTGATTTTATATAGAATGTTACATTAATTAGTACTTGTATATTTTAACAACACGCACAAACATACCACACTAAGTGGACCCAAACGAAAACCACGCATTCACGGACAAGTTCACTTCTCTCAAAATTACATACAGAAACACACATACACACAACATCCGCACCCCCTCCTTATCATAGAGTAGACAAACAATGAATCAGCTTACCGTCTGCAGCAGTTTTGAAGTGTTTGCCATCAGATGAGAAGCTTCCCCCAGTGATGCTGCCAGTGTGTCCTTTGAGAGTGGTTATCAATTCTTGATGGGTGTACTGAGTCACAGCAGGTTTCTTCTGGGCCTTTGATTGCTTTTGCGGTTTGGGAGGAGGCGGCTTTTTGGCTGCTTGGGGCTCCTTGCGTTTAGGCTTGCCTGCGGACAGAGAGGAAGTTTTTCAAATGGACTAGAGTAACAAGCATGCATCACCATTTCCGTTCCAAATAACAGATTCATTTTACTGCTTTGCAGAGAAATGCTTCCTACTAGTAGTGGAATTTTTCCTTTACTAATTGCATTAAAATATCAACACATTAAATTAGGTCATTTTTAGCTTCACACACAGCCATCCAATATTGCAATTATCATTACTTTGTTCATAAATCAACACTAATGTGCGAATTCATTTTCCATCACAATTTATACAAATTAAAGTATTGGTAATGTTTACAAAGTGACTACCACCTCTTGAGATTAAGCCTGATTACTCCAGCCATTCATGGGAAATCCACAAACAGTGCAGCATCTTTTTCCTACCCGTTTTCTTCATTTGAGACGTTTTGCCTCCATAGATTTTTCTGTGTATTATTGAGTAATTTTTCTTTGATTATTATAGTGCCATTACATTTTCTATAAATGTATACCAAAGTATTAAATGTTGCACAATTTATTATCAACTTGCTAAGGTAATACTAATAGATGAAAAAGGTTTTATTTTGTCCATTGCAGACAAGTTTGTACAACATGATTATGGGAAATAAACTATACCTTAAATAAGAAATAATTAGGTTATCTGAAAATTAAAATCAGGTTAGGAGAACTGACCAATAACTTTAAAGTTTTTCAATAACAACATTCACTAGTGAAATCAATCATATGCCGCCTTTAATGACTGAAATGTTGCCGTAACTGGTTGACTTACTGCAATTTCTATCAATCTTATAAACGCAAAGCTCTAATAAATAAGATAAATAAATATAAAGAAAGCAAATGGGGGGGGGGGGGTGCATCCTAGTAATCCCTTAGCCAAAATGCTCTTCCACGTCGAAGATTCTCTAGTCAAAATAAACTATTAAAAATGAGAATATAAAACAACATAGGTAAAGATTAATTCACAGACTTTTGTAGAGAGCAGTAATGAATGTGTAACAACAGAACAGTAAGGGGTGTGTTAAAACTGTGGACTCACCTACAAGGAAAACTGTGGCCAAAGTCAAAATATCAGCAAAAGTACTTGAAATTTTTTAAAATTTAGACAAAGTCAAGTTCAGGGTTGGTTAACACTGATGCTGGGTACAAGCATGGATAACTCTGGCTGACTTTGATAATTTTATGGAATGGTAGTTCCAAGAACATCTTAGTTACCAAGGAGTCAATTTCTTGATCAACCTGATCTTGCCTGTTCACCCCAACCATTGGAAGGGGGGGGGGGGGGGACCATTGGAAGGGGGGGGGGGGGGGTCTTACTATTAATCATCATTATCCAAAACACAGTTAATCTTTACAGTATGGACACTATGCTAGGGTAAACTGAATATATTTTTGTGTACGGGAGAAAAAAAATTCAGATGTTGGTACAGATATGACACGTAACACCACAAACAAGTTTCAGATTCATCTTGCTGTGCATACAGAGGTGAAGACAATAGATATTGGGGGATATTAGGGGGTGGCCCCCTATTACCCCTCCTCTCAGGCAGTGCCCAAAGGATTTGCTTAGTCACGGCAACTTAAATTATTACAATAAAACTGATGGAGTTGGGGGAATTACTCCCTCGTGTGAAGATTGACCAAAATTATTTTCCTTCCTGAAAATCTAAGGTAAATAAGTGAGGTTAGGTAAGTCTAATAAATGTCTTCTTGATGCCTAGATGATTCTGGTGCCATCAATGCATAAATGAACTTAAAACAAAATTGAAGCGGATGGTGCATTTATGTTTATTCTGTGTCAGTGAATAAAGGGAAATTACATGTGACTAGTTTTTGTGAAGTTAGGAAGCATATTCTGTCAACTTCAAGCATTCTCAATGTACCACATATTTCCCTCAGTTTTATGCATCTATTTCTTTTGCCAACTATCCTTTTTGATCACTTTCTAGTTTAATAAATCAAATACTTGTGTTAACCCTCAAAAGCCTCCAATAGGACAGATAAGGACCTGCTAACCTTTAACCTAATCTTTATGTTAAGGCCACACCAAACTAATCTCCAGATAAGAACAGTATCACCATAAATAAAAGTAAAGGATTGTGCTCCCGAGTTTCAGCTTTCTTGACATGTGAAATAAGGTGAAGACTTTTTACAGGGGGTTTGGGGCTTGCTCATCATTCTTCCCCTCAGGCAGTGCCCAAAGGACATGCCAAGTCATGGCAACTTAGATTATTGAATAAATTTTTGTAAAGTGGAGTTAGGGAGTCTTTGGTTAGTGCTTCCTACTATAAAGTTAACTAAAAAGGCTTTGACTATGGGATACTGATTAACCTCTATTTAAAGACTGCAAATATGCAGCCTCAAAATGGCACATGCTCACTAACAATGCCAGTCACAGCAAGGTCTAATATCTGGGTCAATCAATGTATTACCCAAATGTCCCAGGTCCAAACAGTAATCCTATAGAAATGCTGGGTAGTTTTTATGTGACTGCACCCCTCACACTATATATCTATTACAACCTACAACTTTAGGGGCACACTTGGAAATCCACAAACATTGCCATATGACCCAAAACCTTTGCTAAACCAAGGGAGGGGGTTGCCCCCCCAGAGACACACACTTGTCACCATGGACTTGGTCCCAAGACAGCATTGGTCATGACTTATTTAATTCATGTCTGACATTCTTTAGCAGCACAAACTTTCATTGATCATTACTTCATGACAGTGCCATTTAGGTTTTCAAGTCTTAGAAGTCAATTAGAAAATATACCAATAGCTGGACTACAGTGACATCTACTTAGTTGTTGTCCATGAGCCAGTGAAATGATGTCCAGTAATCAGAGTGGTCAGTTGATATACTAGCAAAATACAGCAAACAAACACATTCTGGCAAGGTAAAAGCAATTTACTTTGCCTGATTGTACATGGATGTTTCCCTGCTTTTTGCCAAAATATTTTCCTGATTATCTAAAGAATCACTCTCCAGAAAAGTACACATTTAACTTGCACATTTTTTAATCTAATCTATATATATCTACCTTTTCTTCACATAGCATTTCAACTTCCTTCAAAGTTCTTAAAGTTCTGAGGGTTATAAAATCAAAAGGCTGCTTTGCTTGAAAATAAAATCAATACGGGTTTGGCATCAAACCTTCAGTATTGTATTGGTTAAGTTAAAAACTAATGTATGCTATATTATAAAATAGACAAACTTGTTTTGTGTGCTGTAGCTGCATAACATCACTCAAAATGTATAGAGGACAAGTCTATACTGGCTTGGGAATTATGGTAATCAATGGGGGGGTACAGGGGGAAGAGCCCCACATTTTAGTATAGTTTAGTACAGGCAATCTTTGTGATTGTTTGTACATTGAGGATTGGGTCAATTAAAATTCTTTTGAGCTGGAGACAGTAATGGCAATCTTGTCAACTTTTTACCATGGCTTGCCATATCCAAGGCTTATTTTGTTTTCAAAGTACACACCTATCAAATTCCACACACTTCTGTCACCACAAACACACAAGACAACTACACTCAGTCATGTATAGACTATCTTCAATTTGTTTCTATTTGCTAATCTTTCAAGCTTTACACTATATTGACAATACATTGGCCTCAAAATGAGCTCCAAACAAATAGTCATGCATAAAATAAATGAGCTCCTGATTTTCTACAGGGCAAGAAAATTATTTCTACACTACATGATGGCAGGACTTTTCACATCACTCATCTGATGACTACATATAACAATTTTCAACACTAAAACTGCAACCACAGCAAACGTAGCTCCTCTACCTGTCCTTCAGAAAGGTCAGGTTAAATCTTTGAACTCATCATGACCAACAATTCAGTGGTCGACTATTCTCTCACTTATTTCACAAATATTAAAAAAGTAACATAAGCACAGGCACAAATAACTTAAAACACGTGTCGGACGGCTCTCCTTCCGCCCAAAACGCCTCCCATAGCACGGCACAAAAGGCCTACGTTAATGACCTACTCAAGGATACTACAGTTAGCTGACACACATACACGCCAGAAACGTGTCTCGCTCGTTTTCATCTCCTTTTTTTCGTCATTTTCTCGCTCTTTCGGCCACTTCACGGTTAATTCCAACGGGCTTACGGGGAAGACAGGATGAAACAGAGGAAAAGACATCCCGGGCAGCGTCATCGAGGCCGAATTTCCCGCGGGTCGAGGAATGCAGGAAGTGCGGGCCAGAGCGGGTCTCACGTGCCACCACTTCGCGCGGGTTTTCATCTTTGTTTTGCATTTAACGTTGTCTTCTCTCTTCGCCACACTCCCGCTTCTTGGTGTCCGAGTGCCGGCGACCCCGAGGGATAGGCGGTCGATGCGGGTTAAGGAAAATATCTTGAGAAATCTCAACCGCATGCAAATCCTCCTCCGCAACTCGCCTACATCGTGGGCAGCGCCTAAGCGGGTAAATCTCGGATAACACACAAAAATCCGCGTAATACTCACTTTGTTTCTCTGCTGTATTGCTAGTCTGGCTTCTTGATAGGCGAATTAGCCACGCCAGGACCAGAATAGTAGCCCCTATTACTATTGACAAGAATAACATCGTCGGAGCGGACGAGACGTGCGTCTCCTCTCCCGCCATCATGGAGTCTGACGTCAGAGCCACGTGTTGGCCAATCACCGCGTGACATGAAAAGCGGCGAGGACAAAACCATGACAAATAAAAATCAATTAATATTCCCCTCTTTTGTACTGTTTAATGCCTGCTTTCTTGTGGTAAAATCTAAAAAAATATATGAACTTATTTTTCTGTATACAGGAACTTTTTACAACGAATGGTCTAATTTTCTTAACATTTAAACTGGCAGTCACTGCATTGGGGCTATTGACCTGCTGAACATGGATGGTTAAGCCTAAACGATATAACGGGTATTTGGGGATCCCGGTATTTGTTCAAGGATGTACATACGTAAAATGTGTAACAGTATCTCATAAGGATTTTGCAAATTACATATATCTTTAATTTCAAAGTTGTATGGCAATATATAGAAACTACCCATGAGCGCGCTAAATCATTCTCCATTCATAAAACCTTTATGAACAATGCATTTTCGAAGAGAACATTTTAACCATTAACAACACATTTACGTTACACCCATCTTCCTGTTTCCGGTTAATTTGATAATGTTATCTGTATCTCTCAAAAGTATTTATTGATAACATCCGTATCGTTTATCTAATCTTTGATGACAGATGAGTGAGATTTTGTAATTCCTCTGAATCTGCATTTCCCAGCAAGACAAGCTAAATGTTCAGTATTTAAAAAAGTATGCAGACGTACAAAGGTTAAGAATGTCCACGTTAGATAAAATACGTTTTACACACTATTGGGTTCTCGGAGAGCAGGTCATATAGGAAGATGAGAAGGAAAAAAAGATTCAGAAACCAAATGATTATAAATATATTTCTAGCCACAATACTTCCTGTTTTAACAGCATCGGCAAACGGGAACGAGGACCGTCGCCCGCCCAGTTCCCTAGACAGCACTATAGGATGGAACTTGTAGCCTACTTTACTATTGTCTATAGCACAGTGGAATAAAGGTGTTTTAATGATCATTGACTCAAGAAACACCGGTTGAAAGCATTTTAATGATACATCCATACCCCCTTTTTTATAGTTTTTAAAACACATATATTACGCCAATCCCTCCCACGGTAAACAACCTCGTTCAAACCAGTTTAATTAACCTAATTCTGCAATTTAATCCAAGATTAACAATCCCTTATCCTTTGCCCGGACTGGCGTTTGAACTCGAGAAATCCGGGGCGGTCCAGACACCGGTGGGGCGTTAACCGACATACCACGAACACGGAAGAATCGGTGGAGTCCATGCTAGATTCACATGCGGAAGCTCGCTGTGTTTGTATGGCTAGTGAAGCATGGTAAGTGAGATTAAGATCTTGGAGTGCTGAGACTGACGGATTGAAAGATGGCATACATTGATTAAAGGGGGAGGAGGGGGGGTAATATAGTGAATAAAAGACGAGAGGAGAGGTATTACATTTTTCATTTTGAGGTTAGCCATCCCGGGTCATTCGAGGGTCGCGTTTGCCCTTTAACTGTATATATCTGTCTATTGATTTGTCTGTTTGTCTACGTGTGTGTGTGTGTGTGTGTGTGTGTGTGTGTGTGTGTGTGTGTGTGTGTGTGTGTGTGTGTGTGTGTGTGTGTGTGTGTGTGTGTGTGTGTGTATTTATATGTTTACTGTACTACAAAGGGGAAAATCGTGAAAAAACTAAGTACAATGTCTTTGTTGATAACCAACGGAATGTAGTTTTATGGTACAACCTAATAATCATTAGATCAATCTACATGATTTTACTATAACGTTATGAATCAAATTGCATCAGTTATAAAAAAAAGAAGATCCAGGCAGGTTTGGAAGAAAATTAATGTAAGAAGAAAATATCGCCAACTATGACATTGGATCAACTGAAATTTCCAGTAATGGAAACTCGCGTAATACGACACAGGGAAGTTCTCGACCGACACGTCCACGAGCGGACAATAAACCGTGTTTTGCCTTGACCTTCACAAGGTAGAAAAACATCCCACGTTTACTTCCCACCAGTTGGCCAGGGGAGCTGTTTCCATAGAATGGATCTGGTCTATTGTGGGGAACTAAGCAAACTTGGAGAGATAAAGTTAGCATAAATACCATTATTATTACTTTTATTATCACTATCGTCAGTGTCATTATTATCATTAGTGCTATTTTTATCATGTTGCGATTGTTCTCAATAAAACTGAAGTTATCTTCATCATCACTAATATTACCTGTGTTTATTGGTGTTGTTATCAACACTGTTTTTCTTTCAATGCAGAAACTCAACGCTTCCAACGCAGCTGACTTCCATGTCAGCCCCCCCCCCCACCTCATCCCCCGTTCTTCCCGTTCCTCACTCCCCTACGGTTCACATGTGACCAGGCCAAGTTTCTCTTCATCCCAACACTGCTCCATCTGATGTGCTATTTCCGCCCCAGAGGTTTACTTTCTCAATTCTTATGAAAAACACACCACATTTTATTTACGTATTCGTATGTACATATACAATATATGTGTGTATATGTATGCATATGTATGTATATATATAAGTATGTGTATGTATATGTGTGTATATGTATATATGTGTGTGTATATAGATATCGATAGATAACAACTTTCCCTGACCAGGACTCGAACCCAGGTCACTCCGGGTATATATATACTTACATATGTATGTATATATGTATATATACATATATATACATGTATGTATATATATGTATGTATATATGTATGCATGTATGTATATATATATATATATATATATATATATATATATATATATATAAATGTGTATGTGTGTATATATGTATGTATATGCATATGTATATATATGTATGTATATGCATATGTATATATATGCATACATATGTATACATTTATGAATTTATATGTATATATGTATATATATGTACATATATATGTATTGGGATATATATTATATATATATATATATATATATATATATATATATATATATATATATATATATATATATATATAGTGTGTGTGTATGGGGAATTCTTTGCTAACGTTGCAGAACATTTTTAGCCATGTACTTTAGTATGCGCGTGTGTTTAGGTGTGCTAGTTCGTTTAATAGCATGGAGTACTAGGTGTATAGATAATCCTGCAGTAAATACACCGTGATTCCGATCTTCAGTATCGTCAAAATCGTGCTTTTCATATCCAGGCCACGCTCTGGGTCAGCTGGGGTTGCACAAGAAACCGCACTCGGCGACCAGCCCGTGTTGTCAAAATATGTGCAGCCAACCAGTTACGTGGCCGAGAGTCTCTGTGTCAGGGTATCGGGCGGGGCAGCGTTGCCCCATTGCCGGACGTGCCGATCCAGCTCGCAGGAGCCGCGCCGTTCCAAGAAGGGCGCAGCGTGATAAGCGGAACAGGATATGACGTGAGGCAGACCGGATTCTACTAAGAAAGTGAATGCTTAGAAGATTCTTTGCCCCGAGCAGCTCGTCTGTAGCAAGCGTGTATTCACCTAAGAAGCCTTTCTGGTCCAAGGACGAAAAGGAACGCACGAGTTTTCCTACTTAGTGAGGGGAGGTTCAGTCGAGACTATATACTGTACTATGTTCTCTCACTCATATGCTGTGTATGTATTTATTATATTATATATATTCATATATGTATATATAATGATGTAGATATGATACGCACATGCTACAGACGCACACACACATACAATTTATATATATATATATATAATATAATACACACACACACACACACACACACACACACACACACACACACACACACACACACACACACACACACACATACACACACACATATATCATACATACATACATACATATATGGATATGCACATATGTGTGTGTGCCTGTCTGTATATGTATGTATATATTCATATATATGTGAATATGTTTATATATCACATATATGTATTATATACATTTATGTACATATATACTATATATATATATATATATATATATATATATATATATATATATATATATATATATGTATATATATATATATATATATATATATATATATATATATATTTATATATATATACATATACATATACACATATATACACACATATATATATATATATATACATATATACATTATATATGTATATATATATATATATATATATATATATATATATATATATATATATATATATATATAAATATACATACATACACGCTCGTGTATACATATATTATATATTATATATATATATATATATATATATATATATATATATATATAGAGAGAGAGAGAGAGAGAGAGAGAGAGAGAGAGAGAGAGAGAGAGATTAATTTAAATTCTCATTTTATCTACTTTCTCTCTTGCTTTCCCTCTAATCAGCTTCTTTTCCTTCTGCGAGGTTTTAGTGTGGTATCAGGTTCACTTGCAGGAAAGAATTGTGTTGCGTCTGTGATTTAAAATTGCTTGCTGGGTGACATCATTTATCAATCTCCCGTCGTGTGTTAAATCTGCTGATAATGACAATATTTCTTATCTGTAGATACGCAGAAATCCAGACGATAATCTATTAGATTCTGTGGTTTATGTTTTTAAACTAAATTATGCCCTTCCATATTCACTGTTACGTTAAGCAGCAGCGATACATATCATTATCATCATTGTTACTGTTGAAGACTAAATTAATGTTTATTTTTGCTGAGACATGCTCTTACTTATGTCGACATACGTATCATTTTTTAGTGTGATTTTCATCAAAGCCCTATAACTGAATAGCCACATAAACACTTCCAGACCTTTTCCACGCATAGGCAAGATCTATATAAGTACTTGTATAGACCTTGCGCATAGGAAGTGTGTGGAAAAATGGGGAAATCGGTGACTGTTCGGGTTTGGGATTTCCGTGGTTCCTTCTTTTTCCGCCCAGACATTTCCTTCTATATAGTTCTATCGTCATTTCAGCGATCGAGTTGTTTGTTTGTTTTCGCGAAATGTGTTCTTTTGGTTTCTTTAGCCTTCTTTATTTTTTGTTTTTAGGTATTGAAAGGCTGGG